TACTTCGATGATTATCTGTTGTTAAGGAAACGAACAATTGAAAGACCCACTTTTCTTCTCGAATTGCTGGCGAAATTATTGAGATATTGGCCGACGTTGGCTATGATAATCATCGTAATCGGAATACCACAGATACCGTAGACAATACAGAATAGTCGGCCTGCATATGTAATCGGAGCAATCCGATTGTAACCTCAAAAAAAAATTGTTAGAATCATATAGAAGCACTACCAAGACTTCGTTCTGAGTTCTAACCAGTATGATATCGTACTTATTAATGGTACAATCTAGTCAGGTGAACCAACAAACTTCCTAGTAAATTTGCTTAAAACATTGGTGCAGTCCACATGTGGACTACGGTTGTTATACTTTCTTTGAATCAGCTATAATTCCTTTTCCTGTCACTTTTTCTTCTCAAATCATTGAATCAGAGCAAGGTGAAAGTATGTACTGAAGGGCACCAGAAAACTCTAATTTTTGAGGCTTTAAAATCGATACCATAACTGCTCCTTTTTGAAAGAATATAGCGCAGACGTATGTACATATTTGTCGTACTTCTAGTACTCCATACAATGTTCATGAAAAAATTTCAAAAATGAATTATTTTGAAAAGGCGGTCGCCATTAATGTCTTCACTAATATCGACATGATGCAAATCCCGCGAAAGCTCCTCGAGACGATTACTGTGCATAATTGAGCACACGACTGAATGACACCGAAGCGCTACAGTCAAAAAATAAAATTAAAGAATTCAAAAAAAAGAGACCATTGAACCATGAAGAACCATGAAGTCTACTTAAAGGCTGCCGTTGCTGGTGGAAAAAGAACGCGTGGTCCTTCGCGACCGTTTTTNTTTTTCCCTAGAACGCGATTTTCGTGAATGGATCAAAGGCACAGTTCACGATAATTTTGAGGTACCCCGTTTTAGTCGAAAAGCGGAAGTATAGGTTGGGAATAGCCCATTGGTAGAGAAGAAAGCGAGAAAATTCGCCGGTTTGAGAAAAATAGGCTCCTAACAAGTAGGGAAAATAGAGGTTAGAGGAATAGACAAGATTACCATGACGGAAATAACATGAAGGGGTATTCGGACGGGATTTCAGTCGTTGCAATTGCGCAAAGAGCTCACTACATCGAGCCAGAACTGTACAGAACTGCCTTTCACTGCCGCTATAGGTCATGACAAGTTGTTTAAACTCCCTACACGGGTTCCCTCGTGATCTGTGCAGCCTCTAAAATGCCCGTGAAAGTCGTCCGAGGATTTACACGGGCCAATCTCTGAGCCTTTATAACTCCCTAACTGGGCCGTTTTCTGACCTAGTAGTGCCAGATGTTGTATAAGAGGGGGCCTCAAATTCCTCCTATGGAGAAATCCCAGGAACCATTTTTATCGTGATCCGTGCCTTCAAATATGCTGTGCCTATAGGGTGGAGCTTAGAATATGCTTTTTATGCAAATATGCTTTTTTGGTAGACCTAGGGAAGACGGATGTTGGAATGACGAGTTTTAAAAAGTAAGGATTTGGTTGTTCTAATGGCTCAAATAATCTCCAGTATTAACCATTATCGGAGGCTTTCCCTTGAACCACGGCTTATATGTATCAATATCAAAATTAGACCAATTCAGTGGTAGAAGAGGTAGATTTATGATTTTGATTCTGAAGAAGCCTTGACACTAACAGGGACCAGTACCGATTCCGGTATACAAGTACACTTACACTACAGGTACTTCTTACTATTACTTACCTCTCATTACGACCTCTTTTAGCCTCAATGGAACTCATTTCAAAGTTTTGCTACCAAAGGTGAGATCATGCAGGGTGAATCCGCTTTGCGTAAGTAAAGGTAGAATTACTAGTTGGTAAGCGTCTTGCATTTTACCCGTACTGTTTTAAAAATGTACCAAAATCTGACCAAGTGTTGTGACAATTCCGAAGCCATAGAGGGTTGCCGTAACGAACGACCATTCACTTCGTTCATCTCTGAAAATAAATCATACTTTGTGATATAGAGAAATTTGAAAACAGTAATAGCCTGTGATTTATCAAAATCCGAAAGGGACCACACTAATTGATGGAACACGACAATTTTAACTAAAAAGTACAAAGAATGTTAGGTATGCTTCTCCCGTCCGTCTCCTAGTCTTCCTTTTACATGTGGACGCTTCTACGTCCTGTTTTTTGTTTACAATCTCACTCAGTTATTTACCTAATATCAGAAAATGGATCCACAAAAATTTTAAAACTGCAAAATATTAATAAAAGGATAAAGGATAAAGCATTGGAGCTCTATCGATCCCGTATGAGGGATGCGCCCCGCATTCGGCGTCCATTCAGAATCGTAGTGGCCGATTGACTTTTATCCTCTGAGACGGATCTGGTACCAATTAACCGACCCCAAAGAGATGGAAGGCTTGGTCGATCAGGGCGGATATCGATAAGGGACTCGAACCCATGGCAATGCGTATGCGATAAAGCGCCACTTCCGACTACTCCACCTCTGCCCTGAATTTTTTAACTATTTATATAATGATTATAATTCCTTATGCAGTCCCACGATAGTATTAGCCTGATGCTGCATGACAATCAAAACGAAGCGCTCTCTACTACCAGTAGTAAATCAGTCAGTAGGCTGCGCAATTGGAAATGATAATGAGTGGTAAAGGCTGATAAAAGGACGTAGGGAGTACATGGTCACTATTTGTTTCAAAACCTCTGTTTCAATGAAGGAAACAGCATGGATTTCTATATGCTGTAATATCAGCCCTTGATGGCTTTCCCTAGTGCCTGAGTAGCCGATAACGCCTTGTTTTTACCCCGGGACATCCATTTTTTGGATGTAAGTGCATCCGATTTTACTCGCCATGCCAGCTATGTGGACACTAAAAACGAGTCAACACTAGAAGGGCAACATTCAATTCCCTCTGTGAATCGGTAGATCCATCTATGGAAACTGGCGTATGTTGAGTAATACTCACAGTAGAGACCCGAAGGAATATTGCACCCCATAAATCACTATTCCCTCGTAGGATACTCCCACGAGAAGTGCGAACAAATCACTAAATCTCATTTCAGCGCATGTTCAAGGATAAACAGAAGTTCAAATGGGTTGTGTACGGTTAAAACGGGTTTCAAATTTTTCATTCCTGACAAGCAGGTTACTAGCAACATAAAATTGATTGTGGCAGAGTGAGCCTCTTAGTGCATTTCCCGCAAAATCGCGTTATCGCGAACGAAAAATTCGCGTTGTGACCTTACGACGCACAGGCACGTCATACTGTAACCCACCGTTGGTGCCCATAAATGCAATAGAAAAAGTGCACAAAAATCATTCCAAAAAAAAATCGCTCCGAAAATTCGGTATCAAATTTGTATGCACTTCCGAGAGTAAGTTAATTAATATAACATTATTACAAAGGGGTAGCCTCGTCACGTGACCCTTTCATAATCAAGTGGTCCGAAAAAAAATCCTCAAGATGCTCTGGTAAGCTGCTCCGTTTCCGATAAAGAATAAACAATAAACAACAAATTGAGACTTTTCAGCAAGGCAAAAGCGTAATAGTGAAACCCAGCAAAAACTCAAAAGTAAATCTTTACTTGTAAAAATGTTCAATGCAATGTTTTGAATCCCGTGTCGATTTGTTGGCATCTATGTGTTTTATGGGAAAAAGGGCAAAACGTAAGGCCAGGCTCTCTAAAAAATGCATTGAATAAAGCTCAGAAAAGTACAAAGTAGCCGCTAAGAATGAAAAATTACAGTTGTTATTCTTATTTTTACGAATCATTGCTCATTTATACAAAGGTCCTGACAAAAACGCTCGTCTGCTATGGCTTCGATGGAGAGATGACAAATTGACCTATAAGTAGCGACAAGGGCACTTCTGTTGCAAGGATTGCAGCAAAAACAAGTTAGGAAACTTGTAAGGACACCTCCAGTAGATGCCGGCCTTACACAAAAAATAAATGTGAACTTTACCAGTTAGTAGAAAAAAATATCAAAGGATGTCGTACGCGAACTAAAGAAGAAGTAGTAAAGTAGTACTATGAGAAGTTTTAATTGATTTACGTCATCAAATCGTCCATCTAATCAATAATATTACCCAGATTTCACATGGATAGTTTGAAGTGCCGGTAGGAATTGCTTTGAGCCAACCCAAGCCTAAGCTCAGGCATGGTGTGGGGGGAGGTGGCCTTAGCCCTAGATAATTCCCCCACCCACTGAAGCCTGTTTCCTGTCCGAGAAACCGTCGATAGGGAATTCGAAGGGGTACCAGTCAGATCCTTAGACTCTCGAAAGTTATTCAACCCTTCCAAATGAGCGGATACGACCTCTTTCGTCACTTACTCCCCACTAGAGGCGCTACCCCATCTCATTACGCGCTTGTCAGCTACCCCATCTCTCCAGTACCGATCGATAGTGGATCAATACACCAGTTTTCCAGGAAAATCCATTTTTTTCTATAGAGTAGCACCTTAGTCGATTTGTGGGAAAGTAAATATTAGAAAGGAACCTCTCGGGCTCATAGCAGGTAGCGATCCTGTTCGCCGTCACGTTTCGCCACCGTGCTCCGAAAGAGACAGGAGACAGCTCCTCGAAAAGCTGAAAACACCAATTTACTTGTTAGTTTTCATACTAGTATTTCCCTGTGTCAATGTAGAAAATGATCATCCATTAGTAAAGGTAAGTTATGGAGTTGATCAGTGGAAGCGCTTCATAAAAATTCAACTCTTAATTCGTAAGTTCAATCTTTTCTGAACGTAGCAATTTTTTTGCAGACTGAACAACAATTTTAATTTGGTTTTTTAGAAAAAGAATTAGAAGAAGAAAAACTAATTTCAGCAAACTTTGCACGTAAACAATAACTCGTAAGAAGCTTGGCATTCTTTTCTACTTACTGCGTAGGCAAGGTAGTAATCAGGAATTCGTGTGGGTCATCTAACAATGATGTTTGTCAAACAGATAGTAACAAAGGGGAGTGGTCTGGCGAATAAGGAAATGTAGTGAGCCGGTGCCGCCGCGATTCGAACTGCCAGCTCGTCGCGCGCGAACAATTCGCGCGAAATAATCGTAATCACATCCCCGTCCAGTGGGTGCTTTCCGCGGATTTCCGGGTTGCCCGGAATGATGCTGAGTATAAATCCTATGAACTTCGGCACTATGAATGTTCATGTTCCCTCCCGTCAAGTTGGAGTGACTGGGAGAACTTACCCATAAGAATCAAGAAGTTCCCTGTGAGCTCCTTTCTCTTAGTTCACCTCCAAGTTTTTCGTTGTAGCAGGTCTAGTGGATTGCTTTGGAAGATTACCCATAAGGGTCCATCCCTCAAAATTTATTACTGATAGTTACCAAGGGAAATGACGGCCATAAGGTCAGAGTTATTGCCGCATCAACTACAGCCCCCCCCCCCCCC